TTATACGAATTTTGAATGGAGGTGGAGTGGAACGCGAGGCGCATCCCGAAACGGGATTGATCGATCCCTAATGCTCTGTCTTTTATCCTTCATGAATAATTTCCAGTGAGCGTGATGACTGCTTTTTAGGAAGACTCCTTCACCCCATAATTTTGCATGAGAGTTTTCTTTTCTGTTCGGTGACAGGTCTTTTGTACAATAGTCATCATATTTCGTGAAAACGATTGGATGCACAAATCAGAGCACGATTAGAATTCTATTTTTTGAAAAAAAAGGTGATGATAATAGGTAAAGAATTGGATTTGGTCAAGACGCACGTGCACAGAACATTTCTGCCGTGACAATCTTGGGCGAGGACATGGAATTCCATTCCCAAATTATTTTTCCCTTCTGCTATGCTGCAAAAATTAATGATGGTCCATACAGCAAAAAAGATACACCATCCGTCGTCGAACAACCTTTTTTTGGAATGCGCCTCACTCTACACCTACTAAAAATCGTGGCAGAACTTTTGAATGCAATTTGGCTCATTCAGTGACATTCGGGAGCCAACAGATGTACTGGTCTTTTTCCAAGACGATTCTGGTACACGATCAACCCTGGAAGAAGGGAAGGCATGTTTAGCCCAAGTGGCGTAAGATTTACGATTTGAGCCGAGACCGTGCTGTTAAAGCGGCGCTTTACCACCTCTGCACTTTCCAAAATTGGAAATAATAGAATTATAATTGCGCAAAATTATAATTGTGCTCGTATGGCATAGCTATTAAGCCTCACCACGAACAAAACCATATTTCACTCTGTAGCTCTGCTGTGCATTCAAATTTCAAACATCATTTTCACTAATCGAAGTTTTTAACTACGTTCTAAATGTCGTAAGTGGTAACCGCAAAGAGTTAAGGAAATTCCAGCCGGTGTTTCTTTCCTTTCACACGAGCCTTGCTCTGAATTTATAAACGTCATGAGGAAAAGCTTACTGGGCTTAGGTGGTTCACTGACCTACAAAAAGTAGTCAGCATATGTAGAACGATTTAAGAACGTCTACGAGAATTCATCCGCCAAAACGTATTGGGCGGCGAAGGGTGAACGGCACTACATTTTACAATTTAAAATTTGAAGACCATCAAAAATCCCCTGCTTCCCCTGCCAGAGTAACTATAGGTTTCGCCCTCGCTACAGCGTTAAGGCAACTCTCTACTACCTATTATTCCGCGCGTTAGACACCCTTACGCTTTTGACCCCTACAAGAATAGCTCAACTCACACAAATACTTCATTTCGAACACCGGCAACAATCACTTCCGTGTTTTCTGCTCAGGTGATGGCGCCCGATAACTGTGACAAATTCTTGCATGGCAAACCTTTCATGTGATTACACTTTTCCACAAATTTGATACCTGACTGTGTCCATAGCTACACTGTAGCCAATTATTGAAAGACGTGTTGCAATCAATTCCTGCGCGAGACCTCCAACGTTGTTGAGCCTGGATGGGAGAAGGGGACGAATTCTCAAACATAGCCGAACAAAAGATACTGAATTTTAACAGCCAAGCCATGTTTGTAGAATTCACTGGAGGCTTTCAGCTTACCTCGATCGCTTTTGAATAATCAACGATCATTGCTATTTCAATCTAGTCGCTTTTCTTGCGCGCTTGGCAAAATGCCAAGATTTGAGCGATTCTACTGATCAGTTTACTGAACAGTGGTAATAGTTGATTAGAACACAGTCCAACATTCTAAGGCAGAGATTTGAAAGAAGTTTATCCACATCACTGGTATCGCTACAAAAGTTTCATTCACTTTGGCTTGTAGCGATTGCAGCGTATTCGAAAAAAGTAGCCCTACCGATCGCAGGCAAATTTAAGGTAGCAGTAGTACCCACCGGCTCATGAGGGCCGCGCATGGTGTTCAAGAGCAAGCGTAACTGACGATCACGGGGAGATCCAAAACGTTGATACGGTGCTGCATGCTGAGGGAGTTAAAAATCCCTACCTTAAGGGGTATGGTAGAGGTAAAGTGAACCATTGCCAGTAATTACCTTCGTTTGCCAGTAATTACCCACGTTTTGGGCCCCACAACCCACACCTTCAAGTCCTTCTCCAATCCTTCACCTGTCAAAACCATCTCTGGCTTTCCAGGTGTCGGTCAAACGGAGGGAAAAGGGGTAGGGGTCTTCACCTTATCCTGTAGGTCCTCAACAGCACCACTACCATTCCAAGGCATGTCAGTTGTTAGCTTGTAAAGGGCTCACAACCGCAGAGTAGCTACGCAGCCTCTCGCATAACAAGACGACCCGCCCAGCAAAAATCAGCACCAAACCAGTTAAGCTGGTTTTGCGCCACAGCAACAAGTTGTTCAGTGACAAGGATCAATCTCTGACTTAACATCACATTAGACCGTTTCCCTCGGAACACGTTATGTGAGATGATGTTGCAGATGTGTGACAAGCTAGCTTTAATTTGTATCTGCAGGATTGAAATGTATTTTACACACTAATTGAGCTTGAACGTATTAGAGTCGACATGGTGGCGTATGCCATGAAAACGCTGCTTTCAGGGAATTAGTCCCTGCATTCTGAAGCCGCTGATCTCTTGTGCTTGTTTTTACAGGGGGGGGCAAGGAATGATCACCGGATATTCAAAGAAACAGGGCTAGAGAAAGGTCCCAAAGGACCGAGCAGTGGGATGGAGGACGTTTCTTACGAAATAGAGACGTTACCATCCTGCAGTACATGAAAGGTGCTGGAGCCAGATGAGAGAGGATCATCCCTAGCGTTACTCTTCGAAAATTTTACGACCACTCCCCCACTCTCCCCCCCTTCCCAGGGGGTCTCTAATATCCCTCTGAGATAAAAAATGGCTGTTATGGCCATCAAGCGTGATGGAGGAGTAAGGAAACGGCGATTTGTCCATTCTCTACTTCACACTGCCTTCTCCTCTCCAAAACCACCCGAATCGTCAAGAAACCCATCGAAAACGACCCCTTCTGCAGCATCCACGACTTCATCTAAGTCCACGATACGATCATCCCCTTTTGACCTTTCTTCACTGACCTCCCGTTAATCTCAAATACGACCCTCCCAAATCGCAAACATGACCTCTGTGGTACTGTAACAGTGGCCGGATGAGGCTGGGCCACAATGATCACCGCTTTTTATTCAACGTTGGCCAGGCAAGCTGTCCCTCACAGGCCCACGTATTGGCACGAATTTTCGCCGGAGGGCGCCCAGAACTCAACAACACACCACCGATATTATTTTAAAAAATATATGCAGCATTACAGAAGATCGATAGATTCTAAATGGAGAAATTCTCTCAGCCGAACAACAACGAGCGTTGAATTATATTATTGATTTTGATATTATGAGGCAGAGAAGCGACTTATTATATCTCTTCTAGAATGTATTGTTTTTTGTGCCGGTTGTGTTTCTATATTACACGTTTATTTTTATATACTCTTGCTTATACTCCTGCTCTCTTTTATTGAACTGATTAAACTGAGCTTGATTTATTTTCCCCTCCCCTCCCTAGGACTTCGGAGCTGGATTTCGGCAAGGTTGGCGGACCTACAAAGTTGGTATCCGGAGCTCTACTTCCATGCCTCTTGGGTTTGCAGTGTTGGCGGCCACTGCCCTTCTGCGCTGGATCCACTACCTGTTCTGGCAGATCTCCTTTTTGGGGTCCCATTCTCGGAGATTTGTTTTTACTTATTTTCAACATTCTAGTTTGTAGCTTTGATTTCCGATAATAAATACGAATGAATGAATGAATTATTTCTTCAATCGATCCGAATCCAAGCAGGAATGTGAGAGCACTAGGATTTGGCCTTGGATGGAGGAAGGACTCCAGAGTGAGTGGGAAAATTACATTGTGACCATCACTGAATGGTTATCAGATCAACAGTAATCATGGGCCGTGTTAGGCAAGAAGAGCGCCAGAGATGAGCATAAATCGGCAGGTCGGTTTAACCCATTCGCGACCGCGCAGGATTGCGCAATAGCAGCAGCGTCAGGAGATTTTTCTTCAATAAAATCCGAGTGGAGGGAGATTTCCTCTGCCCAGGGCTGGCGTAGATGAGCGAGGGTATGAAGATTCTTTCCATGGAAGAAAACTTTCCAAATTCCATTTCAAGCCCTGCAGCCACAGTAATGCCATTGTCCCGAGTGAGAGCTTTGTCAGCCACCGGTGGCTGACATTGTCACGAATGGGTTAAGGATGTATTCAAGTGATGACCACACTGTCTGAACTACTGGGAAGCTAGAACACTAGACGGAGTTCCCTTCTTTTTCTTGCGCCTTAATTAGAAACATGAGCGAAAACGTCAATCAGCTTCAAAATACCATCATCGGAATGCTTTAGGAGCTTCAACTGTCTATCATTCACTGATGCATTTACAAAAACATTTGAAATATAGTAACTCGCACCAGTTTCTACGTTCGCATAAGTACATATACGTGAATGCTTTTTACAACATTGAACATGGAAAAATCGTTGAAAAAATGGAAATATTTTCAAAATTTCAAATACACAAAAAGAGATCCATAAAGAAGCAGATGGCTCAAGGAAGGCTTCATAAGATACACTGGCTTAAATAGGTGGTTTGTTGAGGACGATTACAACCTGGTAACCCGATTAGCGAGCCGACCCTTGGGTCTGTCCCATGGCTGAGGTGTGGGAGAAACTGGTTTGCGTTCCCAAGACCCCTCCTCTTCCTCGTCATCTTCATCGTCTGCGGTTAATCGTGCAGAAATGCGTCGACGCTTCCTGAAGGAAAAAATCGGCTAGTTCCACCCAGATACAATCCATTTTCACAAAATGATATGTAAACTTCATATGAGCACGGCAGGAAGCGTACAACTACTATGCACATCACGTCATTTTCTGTGGGTTGTGGGTTTTATCACATAAATACCCAGGGTCGACCGTCGCGTTGGCACTTTTTCAAAAATTTGCGATCCCCCATCCTTTTAAGGAGATCTCGATGCGACACCGCACTCTATAGAGAGTCTCGATGCGACCTCCACCACCACCATGAGACTAGGAGACTCCCCAATACGACACTCCTCCTCCCTACCCGACCGCCACCCTCGCCATCATGGCTGTTTCTATAGTATTTGATTCTGAGACCAGTCAACACCCAACTCCGCCCACTATTTTCCTCCAAAACGTCGAATGGATGGGGGGAGGGGAACGGGGAAAGGGGGAGAGGGTGGAGGTTGGGGGTAAATGGGTATAACGAAGCGGCATATCCTACAATTTTATCTAGCTCCCGCTCCTCTCGTAGGAACGCCACCAAATTCGTAATAGAACCCCGTCTCAATAACAAACCCTTTTAAGGACAACGCTTCCACTTCTCCAAAAATCATTCCCCTCGCCTAACCCCAAAATGCGACCCCCTCTTTCGAATAGTGCGAACGGACGGTTGACCCTGGGTAGAGCTGCCTGATGCGGTGGTTCACTCCAAAAGCGTACGATTTTTCAAAAAGCGTTGGCATAACAGTTAGAACTGTAATAGAAAAGAGCTGACTACAAGCGCCATCTCAACGATTTCCATGCACTGACTCTATCTATGCGTCAGGCAGCAGCTCTACACTCATATCGCTCTCAATCACTGACGACGCAGTCTGGCTATATTTGACCAGCGACTGGAAAATATTCGCTTCCCGCGTTGCATTATCACCTCGCTCAGTGTAAAATGGCTGATTCAGCTTTTGAATAAAAAAATAAAGGTAGATACTCACAAAGATATCTCATCTATATCATCTGAAGCTAGCGTTCCACCTTCGCCATTGAATAGAAACGATCCTTTCTTCGCACCTCGTCCCTGGAACAGCCAATATCTTGACACTCTATTTATTTATTTATTTATTGACACTCTATTATTATTATTTGTTTATACCGTCGCGGTAGCAATGCGCCCTAAATCCACTATGCCGAAATCCAAGCAAATCAAAAGGAAAACGATAAGAAGATAAGTAATAAGAAAGGTATTCAACGACAAAAGCTAGGCCCAAGTGAATCTAATGACAATCAAAGAAAAAAGACCCAAATTACTATACTCCAGTGCCAGAAATTTGAGAAAAAGCAAAAAGAAAACCCCGTTGATTGGCAACTAGACTCAAATGACAATGACTTTGGGTGTTTTGCTACCATTTGTCACACTAGACTGGGCTGCACATGAAAAAATTTGGAAGGCACTCAACCATACAGCATTGAAAACTTTACGCCAAGAGCACTGCAATGTTTCACATTTGGCAGCAGGCCGGCTCTACACAAAAAACGCCGCATCACAGTATGGGAGTTATTTGCCAGGTAAAGCCGAAGGACTGAATATTGGGCAATAAGTAGAGAAAGAATTATTAAAAAGCCCATATAAGCAGCTACAACTAAGCTGCCTCACTTCGTTGGAACAAATTTCGCGCAATCCGCATCAGTAAACGGTTAGTAGGAAAGCGTCTGCGGCCCTCAAACCTCTGAACGAAATGATGCTTGAAAACAAACTCACCCTCACAACTTTCGCTTGAGGAGCTCCTGACTTCGACCTCCGTGGTTTTCAACTCATCTTTCGGTGGATCAACGCTAGGATCATCAAAGAACCTGGAAAGATACAGCACATGCGATTTCCACCGTTAGGTTCCAACGAGGAAATGGCCTTTTCCTCGCATATAAACGGTAGAATAAGCTTCTTAAAACGTTTTCAAAAACTTGCTTCTTCTCAGCAGATGGTGGCAACTTTCGCGGCATTTCTTCTAAGCCTTTGTCAATTGCACTACTGCAGAATAGGAAGGGGAACAGGCTTTACTTCCGTACTCGCCCACTGAGTCATCGCGAAGAGCGCGAACATTCGCGTGCAGAAATTTCTTTGCATCGTAAAATTCAGAAAAAGGCGAAGATTGCCACAACGAACGAAGCACTTGTGCAACCAAGTTTCCTTTTAAGAAATCTGGCTCCACATTCCAGAGGGGTGTCCTGTCAATATTTAGCACCGATCGAGAAAGGGGAGTTATAAGTGGATTGCACCCTCTATGGTGAGATTCGCGCCATGAGCGTCCCTCTCAACTATATTGACGGCTATTGTGAGGCGACAGTATGTTATCTTCTAGGCCCTACAATGGAGTCCATAAGGAATGAAAATCAAAATCACTGAAACGAATTCAGGAACTTGAGCACTACTGCAGCAAAAATTTACATAATCAAAATATAAAGAATATAAATAATATATAAAAAAAATTGAAAAACAAAGCCATATAAACAAAATCCAACGAAGATGTAATGCTACCCAATTTATCTTTTCCTGTCAAGTTTATTTTGCCATTTTTATCAATTCAACCCATTGACAGCATGACCCTTCCTTTTCTTACCTGGTGTCATGCTCGTAATCCCACTCAAGTTCGTTGCCTTTCTCGTCGAACACATTCAAACCAGGTCGCACTTTTTGCTCCGTTGACCAAGAATATGTGAAGCCTGCGCAAAAAACTAATTAGTTCACTGGGAAAGGCTAATAAAAAATGCTAAGAAAATGATGCAGCATTACCCTGATCGTCCATCTCCTTTTTTCGTTTCCGGCTGACGTCATCTTCGCTACTATTAGCCGCAGCTTTGCGCGCTTCCTGAGTAGAAACGAAATCAACGAAAATAGTACTAAATATAAGAATAGCCGAAGTACGTATGAAGACACGTGAGATAATAACCACTCTCACTACCGCTAATTCGGCATTAACTAGCAACAGATCTACGACATGAAACGAACGTTCTGCGACATGCCTCTGTCCACGACACGGCCAACAGACCTACAAAAACACCAAACATTCATCGAATCTCTCTGCTCATTCTCTAACTACAAAACATTAGCACTTTTAAGCATTTTTTCTATGTCAATAAAATTAGAGGTGGAATAAATACTTCACTACTTCATAGAAAGAAAACAGCTACCTCTTACTCCTCATATACGGTATTCAATCGCATCAACCGCTCCATCTTCGAGGACGTCATCTCGAATCCGCTCGGTTTTATCCCCGAAAATCCCACGAAAGCTCAAAAAACAAGTGCAAGCAGCTGGAAATAACATAAATATGCACAATCTCCTCAAAACATTATTCAATATAAGGAACAAGCTTGTGAAATAAAGTACTTTGGAATACATTCACATGTTCCAAACGGAACCATGTCCAGTATCCCCTAATTGGGAGAATTATGCAGCAAAGAGTATCAGAATGGATGGTGAATTTCACCTTTCTGTGCTTTCCTATACCCAAAGAAACCACATTTCTAAACATAACATTTGCGGTGTATAACAAGAAAAAGAATCGATGTAATTCACAATCGAGTGAGCTATCCATCCATGGAGATCATTTCACCACACTTGACATACCAAACAACATGGTCGCCGTGCGCGCTCGTGAATCCTTTTCGTTTCCACAAAATCGTTTCGTTTGAATCGTCTTTTGTTACGGTCAATAACCGTTTAAACTTAGTGCGCTACCATTGGTCACCCCACCTGCAGGTTCCCGATAATGAAATCGTTCCTCTACCGCCAAAACCCAACCACTGACAAAGGAGGTCTTCAGACATGGCTCTTTTTCGAACGTTCTGAATTGTGGAGGCAAAGCGAATTAGAAAGCAGAACCAGTGTACAGTTTCCCGAAATGCCCCCACGGAGTGTTTTAAACAGGGAAGAAGGAAGGCAAAATTCATCCTCATTCATCACCTGCCGATCGAGCTCTGACCATTCTTCCCCGTTTGAACATTCGGGGGCGTTCTAGAAAAATTTAATAATATTTATTTATGAGCGAGAACGCGCTGACCCATAAAGCAACACAAGAAAAAAAAAGAAAACAAAAACTCAATAATGACTAAAGACTAAACGATGCCCTAAAATGAGCCTATGGATAAGAGGAGTGGTGAAAATAGAATACCACGAAAATCGGAGGTCTGCCAATCAAGTGGATCGGGAACTGCTTCTAAATTGTGTAGTAATTAGGAGACAAGCGGGAAACTTTCGCTGCATTGAAAAATGGACATCCTTCCTCACACGGTCCCCTCCAACATTAGGAAAACCATTTCGAAAAGCGCTCCATGTCCTGAAAGACCTTCCTTGTGAGTCACATCAACAAGGTGTTCCGTCGCGCGACATTCAGACAATCTCAAGTGGTCTCAGGATGAAAACCGCCAACTACAGGGCTATTCAAGTCAGAGTTACGAAACTTTTCTTAAAGGATAAAGGATAAAGCATTTGCCGTTGATCAATCCCGTCTTTGGGATGCGGCACGCATTCTACTTCCATTTGTACATTCGTAGTGGCGTTTGAATGCGATACTTTTCTTAGCGGAATCAACTTGGAAAATTGCCAAGTCTCGCCGATTAAATCAGTATCAAAGAAGGGCGAAAATGGGGATGGAGGGGGCCATTCCAATGTGCTCTGCGTCTCTAGGGATAAGGCTATCTTTAACGCTGAGAAGAAGAGTGTTGATAACTCGCAACTGACTCATTGGAGTATACTGTTTAACAAGGAGAAGTGAAAGAAAGCTCACACAGTTCTCATATCTTACACACATTCTATACTCTTGCTCGTGGCCAATGGTTCCCTCATCCTGGATATCCTACCACCTCCCTCACCCCCTCCTTATTGTTAGGCTTGAGCTAAAATGTTTATACTCTGGCCCAGGATCGTTTCTTCGCACCATTCAGACTAATCCACCCTAACAAAAGGCATAACTCAATTGATTGGATTGCCTTTATCCAAAATATTTTCCTCATCTTTAGCGAAAAAGATTTTGGTGGAGTGGCCACCTCCAACTCCATTCTTAGCCAAAGAAGTCCGCCAACGTTATCTAGTGGTTGAAAACCGTTTATGTTACAATAAGACCCAGCAATTTCGCTGTCAGGTGTGAACTTACGGAGAAACTCATTTTTTTGACTTCAAGGACTTCGAAAAAGCGCCTGGAGGCCTAATACCTATTCGTTTAGCTCTACGGTTTTTGGAAGGAATTCGCACACTGACGTGTTCCAAAGGAGGTGACCAGCGTTCGCAATGTTAACCCTCCAGTGATTAAACCTATACTAAAAACTTCATTCTCTACATAAATATTCATCATTTCTTGACAAAATCTTGTGGGATTAAAAATTCTCGTGACCAATCCCTTCTCGGAATACATTCCATTTCCATTCGAGATAAAATGTTATTCGAGTGAATAAAAATAAAATAGTTAGAGTTTGAGTAAAAAACATAGAAATTAGAAATTTTTAGGGGGGAATAATCAAAGAATTAGTTCGACTTCCGTTTCGCACGTGCCCTTAGACGGAAGCCAAACTGGAAAAAATACCCTCCCTCCGTGCTCTTCAGTTCAGTTAAATTTTGACTGAGAAAAATACCTTCCTCTGCTCTTACAGCAGTCAGCGAGCGTCGAGGAAAATTCGGAAATACGACCCCTCCCTCTGCCGAAGGCCGAAGTCCATGAAACAACCCTCTTTAAAAGCCGAAACTATGAAAAAGTTGTTTAATTCTCCACCAAAACTGCTCATAAAAAAGCCCTGCTACCCCATCGTCCACAAAAAACTCGTTTAAAAAGTATAAAAGTGAAAAAGTCAAAGAATGATCATTAATGACGAGTCCTGTCAAACGAGCAAACGAGAAACGGAGCAAAAAACGTTCACTAGAAATGGCGTACTATGACAACACCTCTTCTTTGTTTATTTCCTCCACAAGACTTACCAAATTCTAGTACTACACAGATTATGGTTCTCAATTTACACGTCCCCCTTTCGCTCAAAGGAAGCCTTGTAAAAGCCTTCGCCAGCTGTGTGTTGACTGGACTTTGGCGTTGACCGTGGAGCAGCTTATTTACTATTGAAATTTGAACAAATATTCAAATGATTATAACTTTCTTCAAAGTTAACGAATTTTCAATCTGAAAGCTGATTTGGGAGTTTTGTGAAGAGCTTTTTCTAATCAGTACTGAAATTACAGGAAGTTATAAGAAATAACAAATTTAGATCAAATAACGAGGAAAATTCGAGACGAGCACGAGTTTTTACACTTTCCGGAGCAATAACTTGCTTCATTTCCGTCAAATTCAAAAAGTTGATACGTCATACAAAACTAGAAGATTTTCTCTATCAAACGGTCGCTAAAGCAGCTTCATACGTCCAGTACTCAAAAAATGGCCACGTTGAGGATTTTTGCAAAATTAACGAGGAAAATCGTGATGAGTGCGAGTTTTTACGCTTTCCAAAGCCATAACTCCGTTCAAACTCATGCAATCTGGAAAGTTAATACGTCATCATAAACTAGAAGATTTGCTCTTTCTAGGGCAACTAAAACTGCTAAATACGTTCACTATTTAAAAAATGGCCACGTTGAGGATTTTTGCCCGAGTACCGCCGAAAGGTACTTTTTCGCTACATTAGCACTATCCCAACGACTATAGCTCCTTGCAGGAGCGATTACATACTGAAGTAGGAGCAGATTCAAAATCCTCGTGCTTTTCTCTCTGCAAAAAGTGTAAAATTGTTTAGCGGGTCTCAACTTTAAAGGTTACATGCTTGTGAATTTGACGCTGAAGGCTGCGTTTCTTGTTGAATAGTGTACTCCTCTCTGTAATTTAACATGAACTCTTTCAGAACCCTCTTGATTCTTCCTGAATTAAGATTCGTTATCAAGATAGCCGTAGCTGAAGCGCGCGCAACCAACTGGGCCCACTCTGGGATGCGCCGTGTGCTTCACATCTCGTTGGATTTGAGGACCTACTTGAAAGATAAAATATCCTAGAAAACGTGCGAATTTCGGATCCTTTGACTTGTGTGGTGATGAAACACTAAAGTCACTAAGAATTGCTAAGCGGACACCTCTAAATCACGAAGATTTTGTGTGGACGGAATCAATTGTTATTGGAAATACTCTGGCCTGGTATCGATTCGATCCTTAATGTTTGTCCTCCGACGATGATCCTACTGTATCAATCGGGCCCGATCTCTCCCCAGCGGGCCAATACGACCCCCCCTCTGTGACATGTCGAGGATTCCTCAACGCACGCTTGACCCTGCTCCCACTTCGTTAATGTATGCAGACATTATA